ATAAAAAAGATGAAAGGGAAGAAAGCCAACCCCAAACAAATATAAAGATATTAAGATAAAGAATGAATTGTTAAACTTTAAAGAATAAAAGAGAACAAATATGAATAAATAACAATAATTAGAAACACACATACAAACATACAATGTATTTTCTTTGAACAGAGTATTTGGCCGGTTCACAAATTTAAACAGTGTTTAGTCATTTCAATTAAATTTACAATTTCTATATTTCCTTTTTGCCATATTTATTCCTCATCTATTTTTGTAAAAAACCAATATTACCCTTCATCCTCATCTCTAATCTTAATCAAATTCAATTTTTCCCTTCTATTCTATATTATACCCCTTCCCATTGTCATCTATTTTTATATCCATCCTCACATTGGTTAATTATGTAATATTACAGTTGTTTAATATAAATTCAACATTTTAATATAAATCAATTAGTTATATAACTACCTTTTTTGTATATTAATCAATATGAACATGAATATTCCAATTATTTCCATGCCATCCAATTTCTTACAAATCAATTAATTATATTTACCAATAATAATAAACCAAATAATTTTCCCCATATATTCCTCCAAACCACAACTTAACCATTTCTGCTTTCAACACAATATACAATTAATAGTATCTCAATTATTACAATTCCCTAGTTAAATAGAGCTTTTTTTCTTTTGTGTTTTAAAATCTTGAACTCTCTTCTTTTTCCCTAAATTTCCCATTGTTTGCACCTACCTTTTTTGGTGAGGAAAAAGAAAAGAAATCTGCCTGCCTAATATCCCAACGTTGCAACAACAGCAAAGCCAACAGCCTGCTTTACTTTCTGTTCTTTTTTCAGCATAGCTAGGGGGAAAAAAATCAGCACTCTTTGCAAGCAAGCACCAGAGCCCTGAGCAAAACAGCTGAGAGCAAATCAGCTGAGAGTTGGGAGCCAATCTAAGCAAGGGCTAATTAGCCTATGCTGAAGCTCCGCAGGCCAATAAAATTACAAAAAAACACCGAACCCTTTGCTAAATTGCTGGCTCGCCCGTCCCTCGCCCACCACTATTTATTGGCAATAAATAGTGGTGCGGAGGGGCGGGGCAAGGGGAGGGGCGATCCAGCAATTTAACAAAGGGTTCGGCCGAACCCCCTAGAAACGGCAGAATCCCACCACTGCTGATGGACCCAGAGAGGTTCCGGACGGAGCTTGGGCCATTCCCTGAGGCTCTAGCTCATGACTCGACTGAAGAACTAGGGGCCGCCTGGGATAGGGCGGCTGCTGGAGCTTTGGACCATGTCGTGCCTTTGCGGCCTCTGACTCAACGCCGATCTCAATTGGCTCCTTGGTTCTCTGAGGAGCTGAGAGAGTTGAAGCGCTGGAAAAGACGCCTGGAGAGCGGTTGGAGGGCCAGCCGTTCCGAATCTGACCGAACACTGGTGAGGTCTCATATTAAGACCTACCTAGTGGCGATCAAAGCAGCAAAATTTAATTATTTTTCCGCTCTGATTGCGTCTGCAGATAACCGCCCAGCTGCCCTGTTTACGGATGCATGACAAAATCACTCAGATTCGGGAAGGCTTGGACTCCGACTGGATGGGTTCAGATGGGGTGATGGAGGCGGGTCTTGAGAGTGTAGGCTGGGAGGAGTTTGACCTTGTGATTCCTGAGGACATGGACAGGATCCTGGGTAGGCTGAATGCGACCACATGTTTGTTGGACCTGTGTCCCTCCTGGTTGGTGCTGGCTTCCCGGGAGGTTACACGAGGCTGGCTCCAGGGGATTATTAACGCTTCTTTGAGTGAGGGTTTCTTTCCTGCCGCATTGAAAGAGGCGGTGGTGAGGCCCCTCAAGAGGCCTTCCCTGGACCCGGCTGTTTTATCAAATTATCTGTCTCCAACCTCCGTTTTGTGGCGAAGGTTGTTGAGAGTGTGGTGGCCCGACAGCTTCCTCAGCCCCTGGATGAAGCGGACTATCTAGATCCATTCCAGTCGGGTTTCAGGCCTGGGTATAGCACGGAAACGGCATTGGTCGCATTGGTTGATGAGCTCTGGAGGGCTCAGGACAGGGGTTGTTCCTCTGTCCTGGTCCTGTTAGATCTCTCGGCGGCTTTTGATACCATCGACCATGCTGCACTGGCTGGAGGGGTTAGGAGTGGGGGCACTGTTCTACCGTGGTTCGCCTCCTTCCTCTCCGGCCGTACGCAGTCGGTGTTGGCAGGGGGGCAGAGGTCAACTCCAAGGTGCCTAGTTTGTGGGGTGCCACCGGGGTCAGTCCTCTCGCCCCTCCTGTTCAACATTTATGTGAAGCCACTGGGCGAGATAATCTGTGGCTTCGGGGTGGATTTCCATCAGTACGCTGATGATACTCAGCTGTACATTTCCACCCCAGGCCACCCCAATGATGCCCTTGAAGTGATGACCCAGTGCCTGGAAGCCATACGGATCTGGATGGGGAAGAACAAGCTCAGACTCAACCCTTCCAAGACTGAGTGGCTGTGGTTTCCGGCATCCCGTCATAGTCAGTTGACTCCATCACTGACTATTGGGGGTGAGACCTTGACCCCCTCAGAGAGGGCTCGCAACATAGGTGTCCTCCTGGACTCGCAGCTGTCCTTAGAAGACCACCTGATGGCTGTGGCCAGGGGGGCATTTATCAGGTTCGCCTGATTTACCAGTTGCGTCCCTTTCTGGACCGGGACTCCTTACACACAGTCACTCACGCCCTCACTCACTCACTCACAGTCTCTCACTCACGCCCTCGCCCTCACTCACTCACTCACAGTCACTCACTCACGCCCTCGTCACCTCCCATCTGGACTATTATAACACTCTCTACATGGGGCTCCCCTTGAAGAGCACCTGGAGGCTCCAACTGGTCCAGAATGCGGCCGTGCGGGTAATTATGGGAGCTACTCGATGCTCCCATGCTCCTGCGCAACCTGCACTGGCTCCCGGAGGTCTTCTGGGTGCGATTCAAGGTGCTGGTTGCTACCTTTAAAGCGCTCCATGGCTTGGGACCTGGGTATTTACGAGACCGCCTTCTGCCACCGATAGCCTCCCATCGACCAGTACACTCCCACAGAGAGGGGCTCCTCCGGGTGCCGTTGGCTAGGCAATGTCGGCTGACGACCCCCAGGGAGAGAGCATTCTCTGTGGGGGCCCCTACCCTCTGGAATGAGCTGCCCCCGGAGATTCGTAGGATTCCCGACCTTCGTACCTTTTGTCGCGCCCTAAAAACATTATTATTCCAACAAGCAGGGCTGGCCTAACTATTTTAATGGGTTGTTTTATTAGAGTTTTTGGCCAATTTATTTAATTGTTTTAATTGCTTTTAATTTTTATATTGTTATGGTTTTATTTCTGGCTGTACACCGCCCTCAGTCCTTCGGGAGAAGGGCGGTATAGAAATTCAATAAAATAAAATAAATAAATTAAATTTCTTAATGGTATAAAAAGGCCAGCAAAGACCCAATGTATAGCTTTCTTATTTATTTATTTATATCCCACTTATTTTTATAAATAACTGAAGGCAGTGAACATACACAATACTCCTTCCTCTCCTATTTTCTCCACAGCAATAACCCTGTGAGGTGAGTTTGGATGAGATTGTGGGTAGCCAAAGTCTTTCATGCCTTACGCAGAACTAGAAAAAGTCTCCTGGTCTTAATACCATAAAAGCTTTCCAGGCAACCCAACTAAAACATCCATTGTTTGTGACTAAGGCTACCAGAAATGAGCTGCAAAAATCTGGTGGTCCTCCTTATTTTTGCAGCCCATATCTTGTAGTCCTAGTTGTGCCTGAAGCAGGGGTGAAATGTAAAATTTATTACTACTGGTTCTGTGGGCGTGGCTTGGTGGTGGTGGGGGTAATGTGACTGGGTGGGCGTGGCCAACTTTTTTTTTTTTTTTTTACTTTTCAAAGCATTTTTTCTAATGCTTTGAAAAGCCTCTGCCGATCAGGCAACTCAGCTGGGATCATCAGAGAGGCTTTTTAAAAAATATCTCTCTGACGATCCCAGCTGAGCTGCCTGATCGGCAAAGAGGTATTTTTTAAAAAACCTTTCTGATGATCCCAGTTGAGTTGCCTGATGGTAGAGAGGTATTTTTTTAAAAATACCTCTCTGACGATCCCAGCTGAGTTGCCTGATCGGCAGAGAGGTATTTAAAAAATACCTCTTGGCCAAAAGGTTGCAGAAAAAAATGCTTTGAAAACTCTCTGATGATCCCAGCTGAGCCGCGCGATCATGAGAGGCTTTTTTTTTTTACTTATAAAAGCATTTTTTCGTTGGAAGAAACTGTAGAAAAAATGCTTTTAAAAGTAAAAAAAAAAAGCCTCTGATGATCGTGCAGCTCAGCTGGGCATGGGGGGGCACAGGGATTTTTGCTACCTGAACCACTCACCGCCATTGCTACCGGATTGGGTGATCCGGTCCGAACCGGGAGCATTTCACCCCTGGCCTGAAGTATATTCTGCCTTCTTTACCAATAACTAATAATTACTAAAACTGTAAGGTACGTTTTGGGATCGAGTCGCCACATGAGATAATCGCAGGATCACAAGGATTTTGTGCACCTTCTTGCCCGGCACCTAAAATCCTTGGGAATCTCTCGAGCTAATGCGAAGCGCTCAATCGGGATGTATTGTGTACTCGCGGTTTTGGCCTCTTCTCCCTTCCCCCCAATGGTGCACCAACCCAGGCTGCTCTTTCAGGACAGGAAGTGCCTCCCAAAACACGTGTATGGGATTCATTTGAGAAAAATTTTGCTCATGCGGTTGAAACACTTGCACACATGCACAAGCCTCCGTGCGCGCACACACACACAGCATGTAAAAAAGATACTATTCACCCACTGGAGTATCTAATCCCAAATCTAGTGCTTAATATCAGGAATGCCAATAATGGCAGTGCTGTTCTCAAAATCTGGGAAAGGAACTTTAACTAGTCTTAAGAGGCTCTGGAAATATATTGCTGTGTTTTGATGGTCCACCTTGCAATAGAACTACTTACTTTGCCACTGGCTGTCCCCCCACTAATTCCAATGAGGAAAGGCTTTTTTCCACCAAAGAACTCATGATAACGCTGGAGCCGCTGCTCGCTGTCCCCCGCCATAGTCTCTTGTGTTTCAAGGTATCTAGTCCTCGATTTGTTGATACTGACCTGTGAGTCTCTCCTGCTTCCAGCCAAATCACGGCATGGTGCGTCCGCTTAACATGATATTCTGCCAAGCACTGCCCTTCTCTCCAGGGGTGAAATCTAAAAATTTTTGCTACCGGTTCTGTGGGCATGGCTTAATTAGTGAGTGGGGCTTGTTGGTAAGGTGACTGGGAGGGCATGGCTTGTTGGTCAGGTGGGCGTGGCCAAGTCAATGTCACTTCTTTGCCCTTTTTTAACCTACAAAACACAATACAACACAACACAACTGGCTCACCCACAATATAAAAGCAGCTGTGCTAGACCCAAAATGGCCCCTGCAACAAGCAGGAACCTCACACAGCCCCAAAAAGCCCCAAAAAACAACTTTCACACTTTACACACACACAACACAACAGGCTCACCCACAATGTAAAAGCAGCTGTGCTAGACCCAAAATGGCCCCTGCAACAAGCAGGAACCTCACACAGCCACAAAAAGCCCAAAAAACCAACTTTCACACTTTACACACACAAAATTCCACATACAGCTTTGTGAGATTTTGTGTGTTTGTGTAGTTAGAGTGAAACACTACAGAAACACATTAAATCTCAGAAAGCTGCACAAATATTATTTTATTTTTATTTATTTTTATTTTTATATAAAAGCAGCTAAATTTAAAACTTCCTAAACTTTAAATGACTAGGTCTAAAAAAAGAACAACTAAAAAAAAAATCCCTATTAACTATTTTTTTAAAGCTCCCAAAGGGGAAAAAAACTTACCCAATAGAACAGGGGTCTCCAACCTTGGCAACTTTAAGACTTGTAGACTTCAACTCCCAGAATTCCTCAGCCAGCTTTGCTTTGCTGGCTGAGGAATTCTGGGAGTTGAAGTCCACAACTGCCTGCCTGCTTGATTGCAGGCAGGGAGATTCAGTTGCTTGCAGATGCAATGGATTGCAGGGATTACAGCAAGGCGTTGCGACCAGCAGCTAAGGTAAGCAAGCTGAGGGCGGGAGGGGGAGGGATTTTTGCCACCGATTAGCAGGGAACTCAGCTGGGGTCGTCAGAGCTTGGATCGTCAAGAGCCATTTAAAAGGAAAAAAGTTTTTTTCTTTTATATGGGTATGGCGATCCAAGCTGAGTTGCCTGATTATTTATTTATTTATTTTATTTTATGCAATTTATATGCCGCTCTTCTCCCGAAGGACTCAGGGCGGCTTACAAAGAATAAAATTCAACAATTTAAATTTAAATGTAAATTAAAATCCAGTTAAATTTAATTAAAATTATTTAATTAATTAGTTGATTAGCAGGCAACTCAGGTGGGATCGTCAGAGCTTGGCTCGTTAGAGCCATGTAAAAGAAAAAAAAGGCTCTGGTGATCGTGCGGCTCAGCTGGGCATGGAGGACAGGGGCAGGGATTTTTGCTACCGATTCTCCGAACTGCCCGCCGCCATCGCTACCCACTCGCCCGAGCCGGTCTGAACCGGGAGCATTTCACCCCTGCTTCTCTCCACTTCTTACCCCAGACGGATTGCACAGATGAGCCTCGTCATTCCAATAGAGAATGCAGAATCCGTAGTCCTCATTAAGCAGAGAGTAGTGGCGAAATTATTGCTGCCGGTTTAGATCCATGCCAATACGGGTTTTCCATTTTCCATTATCTAACTTATGCTTCTTCATGTTGATTTTGCAGGCTTTGGGATGTAGAAAAATGTAGAACTGCACTATAATATACCACGCTGCTACCATACACTGGTACATGTTCTTTTTAGGTGTATATGTAATGTTTTCTCAAGTACATAAGACATTTTGAAATTTACATGAAGTCGGAGAAAACTACAGAACCTGGAATTTGTCACTAAAAATAGGGGGGGGGGGATTCACTGCTCACTATCTTCCTTTTCCTGGAAGGCCCAGCAATGGTTTTACAAGATAGAATATTGAGAATAGGTGTAAGGCCCACAAATATTTTCTGTTATCCCATTTATTTCTCATACATTTGCTTGATACTTGAACACCTAGCCCTATTCAACAAAATGCAATTCAGAGGTGAAAGAAAGGTCCTACACTTTGTCTAGAAAAATCAAAAGAACTATAGATTGTATATGGCTCAACAGCAGTAATTGTGAGAAGGATTTAGGAGTCCAAGTGAACAACCGCTTACGTATGAGCTAGCAGTGTGCTACAGCTGCAAAAAAAAAAGCCAATGCAGTCCTAGGTTGCATCAAACAGAGGGATAGTATCAAGGTTTCCTGAAGTGTAAGTGCCATTTTATACTATTTTGGTAAAAGCAGAGTGGGAATACTGCATACCCTTTTGGTCTCTACAGTACAAAAAAAAATGTTGAGGCTCTAGAAAGAGTGTACAGAACAACAACAAAGATAACTAGGGAATTGGAGGCTAAAACATAAAAGGTTGAAGAAACTGGGTATGCCTAATGAAGAGAAAGACTAAGGGTCACATGATAGCAGTCTTCCAGTATTTGAGGGGATGTCACAGAGAAAAGGGGGTCCACATATTCTCCAAAACACCTGTGGGCAGAATAAGAAATAACAAATGAAAACTTATCAAGGAGAGATCCAACTTAGGAAGGATAAATTTTCTGACAGTAAGAACAATTAATCAGTGGAACAGCTTGCCTCCAGAAGTTGTGGGTGCTCCATCACTGAAGATTTTTAAGAAGAGTTTGGACAGCCACATATCCAGAATAATATAGGGGTTAGATTAGAAGATCTTCAAGGTCCCTTCCAATTCTTTTATTCTGTATTCTGATTTCAGTTTATCAAAGATCTTGATAGGAAGAGGGGGCAGAAGTGTTGAAACATGTGGCAAGATGATGGATAAGGTACAATAAGGCAACTTTACCAGTGTAAACTTTACTTGATGTAGCAAAAGGAACAGGGCATGCTTTGGGACTCTCCATCAGCCTTCTTGCACATTTGACACACATCCACTGTTAATCTTTAACATTTTTTTAAAAAAATTGAGACTCTGGTATAATTGGCCTGCTCCTGGAATCATGGCAGTCAGTTGTTTCCCAAACTATCGCCTTGGTTCATTACTCCTATGACCTTCATTTATTACTATCCTTTAACGAGCCCACTTCTTTCTTTTTCTACTGACATTTTTTTCTTTTTAAAGTCTGAATTTCTTTTGAGCTTATAATATTGTTTTCCTGCAATAGCTGCTTCCTAATACAACTCTTTTGTGATTATAGTTAATCTTTTATTCTGGTCCTTTCACTCTTAAAACTGTTGAAACTGCATATACATTAGTTTTCTAAACTGTTCCGTCTCATTGGAATGGGGGATAAACATACTTCTAGTATCTTCATTTTCAGAAGTTCCCAACTCTCCTGTGCTCCCTTTTACCTGAAAGTCAAGTAGTCTTGCATATACTTCTCTACATCTTTTGAAATTGGCTATCCTAATACCAGTATTCAGTATATATATGCAAAAATTCCAATTGTTTATATCTCTTCAACCAGCTCTTCTTCATTAGAATTACATTTAAGAAAGACAATCAGTTTTTTTCTTTAACTTTTTGAAATTGCAAAATTATTTGTTTCAGGTACCTCATTCCCTAAATCCAGCGTCTTTCTTGCCTTCTCCCTCGCCTTTTAATCTGCTGTCCAAAGGACTCTTTTGCAAAACTAGAGGGGGTGCATAGAACACAACAGAATCATAAAATTATAGGGTCTGAAGTGACCTCACATCAGTAACTACCTTACTGCCAAGCTCCACTTTTTTAAAAGGTGAGGGTGGATCTGCTTAGACAGTTGCATCACACTGCCTGGAAGTCATAGAAGAGAGAATATAGAATCAGAAGTCTTTTAGCCCAAGCCACTGCTTAAGGCAGGAGACCTTATACCACAGGTGTCAAACTTGCCACGTCACATTGCCATCACATGATGTTTCACAATGTTTTCCCTTTGCAGAGCTGGGATGTGTGTGGCCTGTGTGTGACACATTCAGCCCATGGGCTGCCAGTTTGACATCTCTGCTATACCATCCCAGTCAAATGGTTGTCCAGCATATTCTTGAAAACCTCCAATGGAGCAGCCACAACTTTGAAAGGCAAGATATTCCACTGATTAATTGTTCTGTCAGGAAATTTCTCCTTAGTTCTAGGCTGGATCACTCTTTAACAAGCTTCCACCCATTATTTCTTATCTTGCCCTTTGGTGCTCTGGAGAATAAATTAATCCCCTTTCCTCTGTGACAGCCCCTCAAGTACTGGAAGACAGTACTAGATGTCACTATCTAGATGTCAATGTGTCAAGTATTAGATGTCATTTCCTAATCCTTCTCTTTGATATTAGGCCAGAGGTCTTCAAACTTGGCAGCTTTAAGACTTGTGGACTTCAACTCCCAGAATTCTCCAACTAGCATAGCTTGAAGTCCACAAGTCTTAAAAGCTGCCAAGTTTGAAGACCTCTGGGTTAGACATATCTATCTCCCTTAACCGTTCATCATAAAGTTTAGCTTCTAGACCCTTTCTGAACTTTCTAGGAGCATCTTTTTTGTATGATAGTAACCATAAGTGGACCCAGTATTCCAAGTGTGGCTTCACTAGTGCAGTATAACGTGCGCCTTGCAACCTCCAAGACTCATCCCCTTAATGTAATAGGCTCCTCAACCTCACCTGCACTCTTGCTATCCTGATGCCAAGCCTCCACACTTGTACACATTACCCCTCACCCCACTTTTGCGGACAACTCCCTCTCTCGTTATTCCCGGAACCAGCCGAGCTCGAATATCTTCCGAACTCAAATAGGAAAGCATGCGCCGGAAAAGAGCACTGGTCCTGCAGAGAGTTCCGGTAAACTCGGAAGTTACGCACTGTCTAGGACGTATATGTCGATATTCTCTAGTTTCCGTTTAGGCCTAGTTTCCGGAAAGGAGCTGTTGCCGTTAGATCTGCGAGATGACTACTATGTTCGCTGATACTATCCTTATTGTTTTCATTTCGGTCTGCACCGCTTTGTTAGCGGAGGGTGAGTGCGGAAAAGGAGGATAGAATCAGTTTCTCTCCAAGTGAAAAGGACGGAGAGCAGGATGGTGGCTACAGTAGTTAGGGTCATCTTCCTTTAACCAATTTTAATTGTATTTGTTGCAACTTGGTGCACATTCAGTTGGTATTGGTATTCCATGATCATGCTAGAGTGGATTTTGTACTTCTGTCCAGAAGCTGGCAGGATAGTTATAGGGGCTCCGATTCTTTTACGTCGAGGGAGTGGAAGTGAATGCTTGCCTTGCAGTCCAAAGGACAGCGGAATGGGGATGGGAATCAGGAAGGTGCTGGATGACTTCTCAGGTGATTCAGAAAGTGGTGCCCACCTGAATTCCACTTCAGAACCTTGGCTGGCTTATTTTGCCAGGGATGATTAAAATGGTCATATCTGAATTCCTTGATCCATTGCTTGAAGCTAAAAAAGTTAGAAATATTATATTAATTCTGTCGGTCAAAATTGTTACAATTGAAATATCCACATTAATATGTACATGACAAAAGTGCAGAATTAAATGTATTTTTCTAACCTTCATGATAAACACACATGTCTAATTTTATGCTCAATATTCAAAATCATTGAATCACATCCAGCCCATAACTTTACACCAGAAGACTATTAAATGTGGCATGCCAATTACACCAATAGCTGATGTTATAATGAATAAGAAATCAGCACTCTGCATTTTACAGAAAATAAATCTCAGAAGAGTCTTCCCAGATCTGTCTAAAACACATGGCTTCACACCATCTTTAAAAGTGTTTTTTTTCCCCTAACGGGACAATGTCATTCACAATGCATTTTGTTTACAGTACTCTTTGTCTATTAGCCAATCTGTTCAAGATCAAAATGTTATCACTGATAAATATAAGTGGAAGCTGGAGCAAGGAGAAAGCAGTGAGTTTTGTCTTGGGAGCCATGGGATGTGTCTTTGTAGAGGCTTAGTGACCAGATTACAGTAATTCTGATTAGTTCTGTTCTGTAAAATCTCCACAAACACCAAAATAGCAAATCTGTGCATTGGGCAAGTCGATCCCCCCCCACACACACACTCTTCATGCCTGTGAATGACTAAAGTGCCATGGGTATTGATTTTGTAGTTACAAATAAATTGTAGCTATTAGGCAAATCCATGAATAACAAGATTCAACTGTATTATGTAACCATTACTGGATAGCAGCAATAACCCAGTATTTTTGCCTGAATTCCCCAGCACATCTTTTTTTTTTTATTGAAAAGTTTTATAAGAAATTCAAACAATTTTCTCCCTCCCACCCTTTCCCCTTCCCCACATAAATTGTACATTTTCTTATACATAAGAAATCCTACATATACATGTTTTCCTTAAAGAAAGCATTAAAATAAGACATTTTAATTACATTCGGAGTTGCTCTTCTTCTCTTTCTTCCCTCATTCCACAACAAACCTTCTTCTCCTCCTTTCTTTCCCTTCCCTCCCTCCTCTTGTCTCCTACTTTCTGCTACCTCTTCTCCCACCTCATCCTACTTCCTTTCCCTTTCCCCCACTTCTCTCTTCTTTTCCCCCTTCTTGCCTTCACTCCTACCCCTATCCCCTTCCCTTCCTCCTCTCCTTTCTTCCATTCCTCACCCTCCCTCTCCTCCTCCTACCCCCTCCTCCTCTCTCCTTTCTAACTTTTTTGCTGTGAAATATTTTCCTCCTTTAGTGTCTGAGCAACTCCTGTATTCTACTCATAGAATATACTTTTTTTTACTAAAACATTTCTCTATTCATCACCTTTCCCCCCCCATCCCTTATCCCCCCCTCCCACCCCCCCTGACTTCCCAGAGCAAAAACAGGGTATAGCATCTAACAAACATATACTAAAATAAACTAACAAATTATAAAGTTCAAAACTCCCGCATGTTCTTTAACTCCCTTGCTCCAATTCATCAACCTCCCTTTTATAAATTCTCAAAACCAATTAAATTAAATTCATTCTTCCTACTTATAAAAAAGAAAAAGAAAAAACTTTTTCTTGATGTATAATCTGATACTTTAGCAGTCTTACAAACAGTAAAAATCATGAATAAATTCCATTTCTATTCCACAAAAAAAGAAAAATTTTTCATCTTAAAATCTTACACATTTTATCTCATATATCTTTTAAAATAATATAGTCTTATGTTAAGCATTTTAAAAATCTCTTAATACCTTTAAAACACTTATTTACCAAATATAAATTTCAGAATCTACAGGAGGATGTCTTTCAATTTTTCAATTAACCGTGTTAATACCTCTAACTTTTTAGAGAGCAACCCTTAACTATCCAAAACTAATTATCATTTTGCAATAAAATTCGGAATTTAACATTAATCCTCTTCGCTTCAAAGGGTTAGACATCTTAAAAGCTTATACAATTTATCTCATATATCTTGTAACCTTATATAACCTTATATAACCTTATATAACATTTTAAAAATCTCTTAATGCCATTAAAACACATATTTGCCCGATGCCAATTTCAAAATCCACAGGTAGATATCTTCCTTAATCTTCTGTTCTTCTGTTCTTTCTATATTTTTTCCAATCCTTTTTTTTTATAAATTCTGTCAACAGCCCCCCCCAGTTTTATTTTTGAAACTTTTAAAATGGTGATTTGAGGTTGATGCGCATTTTCTAACTTGAAATCCCCATTTCGTCTCTTCTTGCTTATATAATCATTCAGTCCATTTCTTTGTCCATATAGCCAAAATTTGTTGCCATAAAGATTGCCAGCTTGCAATAAAGAAACTATTTGTTGCTTTTCTGTCATTTGAATGGAAACGTCCACCAAAACCTTTGTTTCAACTGTACCAGCTAGTGTCTTAATCCTGTCCATCTCCTGATCTTCCAAAAACAAATTTCTCTGAATAATTTCCTGCTGTCCCTCTAACAACTGCTTATATTTTCCCGAGCTGTTTTTTGAAAAAGCCCTTTCGATTGTATCCAACAAGGCTGAAGTAAAAAAGTCTAGAAGTTCTTGAAAAGCCTGGACAGTCACGGCTTGGGAATTTGCTGATTCACCAGCCCTGTTGTCAGCCATATTTCAGCCACTTTGTATTTATCCAGCTATCAGGACAACAATTCAACTCTTTTCCACACAGTATAAAAACCAGATCTTAGTTAAAATCAGTACCAAATTCTTTTCCTCAGTACCAAATTCTTTTCCTGGCTGCTTCCCCTTTAAAACTTTTTCTTAGGGTGTAATCCAGTAGCTGTATCACTGTTGCAAACTTTAACAAGCCTTAACAAGCACTTTCCCTGGTAGTTTCCTCCTCCCGCCCTCAGGCGCCATTTTCTGCATTTAAAAGCGGAGTTAAAGTGTTACTTGCAAATTTTCCTTTTGTTTTCTCCTGATTTGCTCTGTCTGCTATCAAAGTAAAGATGTTAAAAGTCCCCCCCGTTGATTTTCAGCAGATTTTGATCGCAGCTTCTAGCTCCGCTTTAGCGGAGTCGTCTCTGGTCCGGAGTAGCTTGACAGGCTTCTACAGGGAGCCCACACCCTTTGCGCCCCAGGATTTCTCCTAGCGCACTTGGGGGGCTCTACCTCTGCCTGTCAACTCTTCTTTCTCCCCTTTGCCCGGGGAGAGGGTTCCAAGCCTCCAGACAGCAGTTTTTTGGCTGTTCTGGGGCTTTTACAGAACCAGGGATCGGGCGCTCGTAAAAGAGCGTCTTCAAAGCTTGCGGAGCCAAGCGGAAGTCCCCAGCACATCTTGAAGCTGGAAGTCTGTCAGGATGAATGAGAGATAGAATAGAATTGAATATTCTGGAAGAGACATTATTAATTTATGGTTAAGTATTAATTTGTAGGGGAAAACTAAATCAAGATGGCAAAAAATAATTCACTTCATATTTATGAAGTGGGTTGGACCTTTTCCTCTCCATTCAGCAATTCTGCTTAATTGTGTGCAATTAATTAATTGTGTGAGGGGTGTGTGTGCAATAAGCTTTTACCTAAAACTGTAGTTAGGCACCAGAGAAAAGTGCTTGGTTGTTTCTCATAGTTTTACAGCAATGATAACTAGATAATTTCAACCAGAGTGTTGGCATCATTTTATTGATGGTCTCACTTTAATAGCTAGTGGAGCATCTTGGAAAGCCCTTGCTGGTTACTATATGAAATAATGGTCTGATCTATCAGTGCTTCCTTTATTTTTTTATAATTTTGAAAAGTATGCACTAGAAAATCTTACTCAGGTTCAAAATAGCACCAAAATAGTACCTTTATTTTTAAAAGTTGGGGCAGAGAATCAAAGGATACTTCCATAAATCCTTCCAAATGCTATCTTGAATTTTCAAGATCTCCTTTACAACCCAATTTTGAAATAGTGAGATGGACTGCAAATATTCTAATACAAGTAAAAACTATATACTGAACATATAAATATCAACAAATAACTGGGACTTTTCACCTGAGAAGTTGCATTTGCTTCTTCCTCATTTTATTGTATTGTAAATTTAAAATTATTGTTTCATAATACTACAGGTAGGAAAATTAATTGCATGGAATCGTAAAACATTGAGCAGTTGTGAGACTTTCTTCTCACTAAATAATCAAGGTTCTTGCTATGCCAGATATGAATAACTAAGGTTGGTTCAAGGGCCACATCAGGCTTTGCATTGCAGAATGTTAGCTGCAGTCCAAAAGTAAAGGAGACACGGAGTTGAGTTTTAAATTTATGAGAGCGGACTTTGAATATTTTAAGTGGTTAGGGTTAACCCCAATTAATGCAAAATGGAAAAAAAATGCCTTGGATGTTCTGTCCCACTGATAGAATCAACTGGTCTGAAGATTTTTATGTGTTTCTGCCCAGTTGTACATCTTTTTCTGTCTTATGTTTATTTCAGGCATAACATGGGTTCTGGTGTATAGAACAGATAAGTATAAAAGACTGAAAGCAGAAGTGGAGAAACAGAGTAAAAAATGTGAGTATGTTTGCAAATACAGTGGTTAAAATGCAGTACTGCAGGTGCTTCTGCTGACTGCTGCCTACCAGCAGTTCAAATCTCACCAGCTCAAGGATGAGTCAGCCTTCCATTCTTCCGAGGTTGGTAAAATGAGGAGCCAGATTGTTGGGGACCATATGCTGACACTGTAAACCGCTCAGAGAGGCTGTAAAACACTGTGAAGTAGATATAAGTCTAAGTGCTGTTGCTATTGCTACGTTATTATATAAGGCTGAGTTACATTCTTTACTAGGCTGAGTTGTAGTTATAAATCTTTGTGGTTGGTTTGTGATCTATATGCAATAACCCCAGCAGCCAATCCTCCCCAAGTGAGATACATGTTGCAAAGCAATGGTAAATAAAACAATACTCAGCAAAGGTGAAAGACTGGCATATAAACTCTGCACTTTTTGAGTTTAACATTTTATATTGAGTTATAAAGTGTTGTAAAATACAAAAGTAAATAGAAAAGCAATGGAGGGGGGAGGGAAATAGGGAAGAGAAGTGAGGAAAGATGGAGGGGGGAGAGAAAAAGAAGCATTGACTTTCAACTCTCTGTTACAGTAAAATAAGGCATTAACATCAAATCACTACTTTTTGCTTTTCCATAATAGTATGAACAAGTCATTTCTATAAAGATTTATCAGCCTAATCTGTAAAACCCAGAGTTAAGAGTTTCATTCTTTTCTGCATCAAGCACGAAGTTCAGAAGTGGTCTCTGTGTGGAAACAAAAGTACTTACTGTATTTTTTGGAGTATAAGACACACCTTTCCCTCCCTAAAAGAGGGTGAAAATTTGGGCGCGTCTTATACACTGAATGTAGCCCAGCCCACGTGGCCAAAAACGTGAGGCACGGAGGAGGCGATGGTCTGTGGCAATCCCTAAGCCTGGAACAGCTGATTGGGGGTATTCTGGGAGGCCGATCCACCTGCCAATCAGCTGCTCATGCTGAATCAGACTGCAATAATGTGCTGAAGCTGACCTGGCTGTTCGCTATTTGCTGCAAGGACGTGTCAGAGTTTGCAGCTGCAATCATATCCAGAAAGCACACACAAGTAACTGATTCAGCAGGATTCAATAACTTCTCTTTATATAACACATGAAGTAAATATACAATACCAAAAGCAGGTTTTCCAACATAGTAGTAAATACAAGCAAAACACAAGCAGAGGAGAGGAGTTTCAGTTTTAGTTTAAGAGCTCAGCACAGCATGCAGCTTTAGTACAGAACAGTTGAGCTAAGCCACACCCAGGCTCCTTGCTGTCTCCTTGTTGCTCACACAGCAAATACTGTTTCAGTTTTCAAACAGTCCTCAATTCTCACACACTGACAGGATGCTAGCCAGATGAATACCGATACATGCTGGTAGGCAGAGGCAGATTTTTTTTTTCTTATTTTCCTCCCCAAAAACTAAGGTGCGTCTTATACTCCAGAGCGTCTTATACTCCGAAAAATATGGTTTGTTCTTTTCTTTAATCAAAGTAGTCAATTTTGCCATTTCAGCCAACTCCATCAACTTCTACAACCATTCGTTCATGGTAGGAATTTGGTCCTTCCATTTTTGTGCATACAATAGTCTGGCTGCTGTCAACATATATAGTAACAAAATTCCAATTTTTTTCTCCACTTCTTTTTCCATTAGGCCCAAAAGGAAAAGTTCTGGTTTCATTTTTATCTCCAGTTTCAAAATTTTCTGTATTAAAATATGAATCATACTCCAAAAATTTTTTTGCTTTATCACATGTCCACCATGGATGATAAAAAGTCTCTTCTTTACTTTTACACTTCCAACATTCATTTGACAAACCTTTATATATCTTACATAACTTATCTGGTGTTAAATACCAACGATACATCATCTTACAGAAATTTTCTTTTAGATTATAATTTAATGTAAATTTTAAAATCTTCGTCCACATATTTTCCCATTGTTTAAGCATCACATTATATCCAAAATTCCTTGTCCACTTAATCATGCAATGTTTTACATATTCATTTTCCAAATTCAATTTCAATAACATTTTATAGATCTTAGCAATAATATGTTCATCGTTACCACATAATGAAATTTCCAATTCATTTTTAACAAAGTCAAATCCATAACACCTTTTATCCAGTTTAAACCTTTCTTTCAGTTGTTGATAAGTAAACCAATGGCAAACATAACCTTCCGATTCAAGTTCTTGTGGTGACTGTCAGCATCCGCTCTTTCATTGCTTACTTGCTCGGCTGCCATGAAACGGGAGGGAGAGCTATTGGAATTCTTGGGAGGGGGAAGCGAGCCAGTGGAAAAGGAAAGTAAATCTTTGCTGCAGCGTTTTCTTTGAAGCTGATAACGACTCAAGGTCAAAGGTCATGGCATAGCAATAGGATGACACTGCCAGATGTTTGCTCCCATGGAAATTTCCATGGATTTTATTGTAGAATTGCCCGAAAGTGGGGGGAACACAGTTATTTGGGTGGTTACTGATTTGTTTTTTAAACAAGTGCATTTCATCCCATGTCCCAAGATCCCTTCTGCAAAAACACTTGCAAAAATGTTTGTCTAACATGTATACAGGTTACATGGCGCTCCAGAACGTATAATTTTGGATAGAGGAGTTCAATTTACCTCCCATTTTTGGAAAGAGTTCCTAGGGTTGATAGGCTCTGCCCAAGGTTTAAGCTCCGCCCCCCCCCAAACTAATGGGGCTTGTGAGAGAACCAATTCTGTATTAGAACAATATCTGAGATGTTACATAAATTATCAGCAAGATAACTGGGCAGATTTCCTGCCGTTTGCAGAGGTGGCCTATAATAACTCCATACACAGCAGCACAGGGTTTACCCCTTTCAAGGTGGCCTCTGGCCAAGATTTTGTGCTCATTCCAGAGTTGCCTTAGGAAAAACCACAAACCCCTCCTTGGTTGATTGGATAGAACAGTTACGTGGCACTAGGTCAGTAACTCGCAAGGCACTGGATGAAGCACATCTGGCTCATAAAGCCCAAGCCGATAAAAAGAGGGCTCAAGCACAAAATTATAAAGTTGGTGATATGGTTTACCTTTCCATCAAATACTTGCAAACTACCCAAAAGTCAAAAAAGCTTAGACCCAAGTATGTGGGTCCTTTTCTGGTAGTTCGGATCATAAACCCAGTCACAGTACAATTGGAGTTACCAAAAAATTTGCGGCGAATTCATCCGGTGTTTCATGTCAGTTTGCTAAAACCGGAGTGTTCGTCCCTTTTACGTCCAGACCAAGAACCTCCTCCTGTCCCCATATAATTGAAGGGGAACAGCATTTTGAGGTCAAGGAAATATTAGACTCTAGAAAGCATCGTGGTAAGGTGCAGTATTTGGTGGCCTGGAAACATTTCCCATTATCTAAGGCTGAATGGGTGAATAAACAAGATATTCGAACTCCAAAGAAAGTACAATAGTTTCACTCCAAATATCCTGATAAACCTTAATCTGATTTTATGTCATGCTTTATTTCTGTGATCATCTGTTTTATGTCATTTTGGTTTCTTGTAGGAATAATGTCTCTTCTGCAGGAGGGTCGAATGTCAGCCTCCGCTCTTTCTTCTTTTTTTTTTTTTTGTAAATATTTTTTAATTTTTTTCCAAACATAAACATAAAATATAACTTTCAAGAACAGAGTTTCGATCCGGTCACAGATGGTTAACATGCTTACATTCTTTTAACACGCTCTATTCCACTTTTCCATTACATCTTTTGAAAATTTAAAACAGAAAAAAAAAAAAATTAAACATGAAATTCTAACATTTTCATCTAAACAAATCTAATATATCAATACAGTTTTAGCTTCAAATTAAATTTCAACTCATTATCTCTGTATCTATATCTCATCAATATCCAAATAGTTATTAACAATATTCTTGTCAGCATTCTGATGCTGCCATAAAAAGACGAGGCTTGACTTTTCACCTACTTATTTCTTTGTAGATAATATCCTCTAGGAGATAAGATGGTGGGGGGGAACATTCCTATGGGGTGAAGTCAGAAGCTGAGGAGACTGACTTGGAAGATGGCCAATGAGAAGATGAGAATTGGGGAACGGAAAGGGAAGGGTTTGGGGGTCAGAGGGTTAGTATCAGCTACGACTTAAGTCGGGGCCAGATCTGTCATACTCAATAAATGGAATACTTCAGCAAAGATTAATTGTTTGGGAGTGCAATTTATTTGAGATGACATCGAAACTTGACAGATAGCCAATACTCCTTTCCAAGCCAAGCTGGCTGACATCCAATCCTCCCGTTCCCTCCCTGACGTATGGAGTGAATGGAGATATTCAACTGACGCCATGGCTGAAGAAAGTTTTATTTAAGCAACTGGAAAAGAGCCAGTCTTGATTCCAGCCAGCTTGGAAGTCACGAAATCTCAACCCTGCCCGTCTCCCCCGGCAAAGTTGCAAGATAGCCAAGGTCAGACGATCGTGCTGCAAGCCAAGAAGAAGGCAGATAAGTACTCGGGGGTTTTGCCAAAAGCCGCAGAGGTTGAGTTTCCTTTCCCGAATGTGCAGGAGAAGGGGAAACCCCAAAGTGAATTGGGGAGGGCAGACTGTATATGGGCCAGGCACCAAGAAATTTCAAGGATGCCATTCGATAGCCCATAGATGAATTGAAGGAGAAATTTGACCGTGCCATCCTTCGGAGGAGGAGCCATCATGCAGACCAAAGGAAGAGAGAGGCCGTAGGCTGAAGCGCAGCCCTTCCCCCCTCCCTAGCAGAAGGAGAAGGAGCCCAAAAATGCATCCATGATGTTTGCAAAAGAACCTGTCTTAAAGCATCCTGACCCTGAACAGCTCTTCGTTATCCAAGCATATGCAAGCGATGTGGCAGTGGGGGCCGTGCTGCTCCAAAAGAACTGCCAAGGTAATCTACAGCCTTGTGCCTACACCTCCCGCAAGCTCACCGACACAGAGAGGCGATGGGCGTCGTGGGAGAAGGAAGCATTCGCGGTGAGATGGGCGTTGTT